GCTCTGATTTTTAACGTTGGCTATCAAAAACCAGGGTGGTAAAATGGCCTTCTCCTACAGGCTGCCTACGAAAGATCACCCTCTTCAATCTCTCAAAGCCTCTCTCAGGAGGCAGAGAGACATGACAGTTAGGAACATGTGCTTTGCGGTTAAGTCAATCTGGGTTTGAATTCTGGGACCTTGAGCAATCTCTTGACATGCCCAAGCCTCCATTTCCACATCAGGAAAATGGACACAATAATATGTATTTCACAAAGTTGTGAGAATTTAACGTCTTGTTTGGGACTTTTTAATGTTTTTGTAGTAATCTAAACACAACAATTAAGTCCATTTGCATTTAATTTATATGGTTCTCAATTATTTTTGCCCTATGAGAAAGTGGCTCTTAGTAGGAAAACACTAAAATAACACCTCAGCTTAAATCAGTTTATCAGATTAGCCAAGGAGTCGTGTAGTTTTTCTAAAAGGGTGGGACAGAGACTGGGAAGCCCTAGAAGGGACTGGGGAAGGAAAGGGTGGCTTCAGTGTCTAAAGAGGAAGATGAAGACACAGGGTTGGTTTGTGGGGAAAGGGGGTGGAGGGAGAGCGGGGTGTTTGAGAGTGAGGAGAGGACATAGTTAGGCAAGCAGAGAGGTGCAGAAGACAATTTTTAGTTACCTCAAAAACATTCCCAGGGTTATTCCTTGGTTAAATGATAATTTCAAAATGTTCTCAAAAAGGACAGTTAGAGAATTTCAGTCGCTGTGACTTTTCCTTTGTCTCTCCACCCCTCCGTCTTCTGTAAGTAGCTTGGTTCAAAGCTCAAAAAAGCCACCAAGAAAGAATAAGAGAGATGTCCGTGGTGTCTCCAGAATTCTTGAAATCTTGGGTTACAAAGCACCTTGGTCATGTGGTCTGCCTGTCTGCCCAGTAATTCAATCACCTCCGTCATTTTCTTCAAATAACTGTTATTACATTCCTTTTTAAAAATAAACAACTTCAGGCTACCCAGAATCCCTGATAGATGAGAGAGGAAATTTAGCTGTCAGTTGTAGGTGAAGACATCAAATTCACAAACAGAAAATTGAAAAAGAGAGGTGCTCTTCCCTGGACCTCTTATAATAAAGTGCACTGAACAAACGCCAAAGATAATTCAGGAACCAATGGGCCCTTCGCCATGCACTGGCCTCATCAAACTGAAATCAAAGATTCCACCTCCAAACCTCCCGAAGTTGGCAACTTTAATCACTGACTAGACATATGAGTCTATTTCATCATATTCAACTTTTTGTTTCTCTAGAAATTCTTCCACTGTTGTTTTTTTTCTTTTCTTTTTTTCTTTTTTTACAAGGAGTTAAACATTTTTCTGAAGTACCAGGGATTTGGGCTTATTTGTTTTTAATAAAACTGGCCTTTGGCATCAGCAGATTGCTATTGTTGATTTATGGCCAAATTCTCAAAAACCGTGATAAAAGGATGTCCACCATATTCGTCTACTGAGCTAAGATAACAGACTTTTTGCAAACAGGTACCGTAAAGCCATACATTCTTTTGTGTGCACCTGATTAAACAATAGCTAAATCCTTCTGTCTGGGGGTGAGCCAGTGAAAACCGGCCTCAACTCTTACAACAAACACTGGGGACGGCAAAGAGATTTCAAATCGTGTGTTGGCCCCAATCACTTGGTTTTCTGTTTTGCTGAGAGCTCTGTTGGGAAGCACTTTGAGGCTAGATTCCTGTTTATCATGAGAGTTCTATGATTCTATGAGTTCTATGTTCATCTTAGGTACAGGATAGGAGAGTGAGAGTAGGTTTGCTACTTATTTTCTATCTTGGCAGAAGATCTTTGGCATTGAAAATTTTAGAATTTGTGGTTTGACCATTTATAAGCTTTCCTGAAAGTCCATGATGTAATGTGGAAGTTTTATTGTATGATAAATTACATGAGCGTGTATGTGTTTTTTGAGGGAGAATTACTCTTCCTTGTATATCTTGATGCATAACAATTATGCCAAAACTTTGTGGCTTAAAACAACAATTTTATTATACCGATAGATCCTGTGGGTCAGGAATTCAGAAAGGGCACAGGGGGACAGCTTGTCTCTGCTCCACAAAGTCTGGGAGGACCCAAAGATCATGGGTGACCCAGGGGCTGAGGGCAGAAACCACCTAAGTCTTGCTCACTCACATGTCTGGTGGTTGATGCTGGCTGTCAGCTGGGACCTCAAGCCCTGCACTGGGGTTGTTGGCCAGGACACCCACGTGTGTGGCTGCTGTGCTTCGTACAGTAGAGTGGCCATGTTCCAAGAAAACCAAGAGGAAGCTATACTCCTTTATGAGCTGGCCTCTGAAGTCACATAGTGTAACTTGTGCCATGGTCATAAAACCTCCCAGCTTCAACTAGAGGGACCAGAGGCCTCACCCTTGATGGGAGGAATGCCAAAGTCATATTCTAAGAGGAGCACGTAGGATGGGGGACATGGATGCAGTCATTTTCAGAAAATACAATCTGCCGCTGTCAGTGGTAAATGAGCCCGTCACTTCATTTCAATACACTTTGTAGTTTCTTCTGTTCCCTCAATAATTACTTGCCTGGAGTAATAAAAATGTGATTTGTTTGTGAAAAATGGTTAACAGTAAGAGCTCAAACTTTAACAAAAAGTTAAAAACTTTTAAACCATAGTATGAACACCTATGTAGTAAGCCAGTGATAAGGAAATAAAATTCAGAAGAAAGTTATTTGCCTTTATGTATATTTTAATCTTTGCAAATATGAGGTTTGCTAATGATTTGTTTCCTTAGATAATATAATGGTGACAGACCGGATACATGCATCTAACTTAGACTTTCTTGACCTTAGCACTGTAATTCTTGGTTGTGCGGGGCTGTCCTACGTATTGTAGAATGTTTAGCAGCATCTCTGACTTCTATCCCTTCCCCCAGTCATGAAAGCCAAAAATGTCTCCAAACATTGCCAAATGTCCCCTGGGAGGCCAAAGCATCCCCACCTGAGAACCAATGGTCTAACTCTAATATATGGAGCTGCAAAAATATTCCCTACAGTTTGTTTCCCAGGGTACTCTTAAAAGGTTTGCATAATAATTTTTTTTTTTTGAGACAGAGTCTCACTTCTGTTGCCCATGCTAGAGTGCTGTGGTGTCAGCCTAGCTCATAGCAACCTCAAACTCCTGGGCTCAAGAGATCCTCCTGCCTCAGCCTCCCAAGTAGCTAGGACTACAGGCATGCACCACCATGCTGGGCTAATTTTTTCTATATATATTTTAGTTGGCCAATTAATTTCTTTCTATTTTTAGTAGAGACAGGGTCTCACTCTTGCTCAGGCTGGTCTCAAACTCCAGACCTTGAGCCATCCACCCGCCTCAGCCTCCCAGAGTGCTAGGATTACAGGCGTGAGCCACCTTGCCTGGCCCATAATAGATGTTTTTAAAAAAAACATTTGCATTGCCTGATGTTATAGGAACCGCTTCAGTTCATAAGCATTTGACATGTTGCGTTCATTCAAAACACTTAGTCTCTCAGTAAACTGAGTCTTAACAACATTCGTTCTGAAGGGTAGAAACTCCTCCTCCACTGGTAAGACTGGAGGAGTAAGTCAGGCAGAAGAATTCAAGTGAAAGGCTAATGAGGGTATGCATGTCTTGCTCACTCTACCTGAGACGAGTGGGTGTGCCCCGGGGGCAGTTGCAGCTGTACACACTCTTCCCCATCACCCACCCTTCACCCCCCCCCCCCACTTTCCAGGGAGACGAGGTGTGCATGGAAATAAGCCGCAGTGTCGTGATGGCTTTATTTCTAGCATTCACAACTTACTAGGGGCTGACAGCGTACATTGAGAAGAAGGTGTGAAAACAAGGAACAGTTCCTGCCCTGGGGTGTCATGACACCTCCGCTACAAGGTGCAGGACAGAGTGCAAAATCACTGCATGCACCTTGGGTGGAGGGAGAGGACGGAATAGGTGGAAACCAAACCTTTTCTCATAGACTCCCCAGGATTCGGACCTGTCTGAATTTCAGGGTTGAGTGGCAATGGGAATGGAGTGTGCAGGCAGTTCTTAATGTATAGACAGGTAGATTCAGAAAGTACCTCAGTTGCAATTAATACAGCATTTCCCATAGGAAAATAACGTTGTATATGCTAGTTGTGCCCCCAGTTAAGCCTGCTTAACTCCTTTGCCGTCCTAAAGAACGTAATCACCATGCATGCAGCACTTCCAGGGAAAGCTGCTTTCAGATTTCCAGCGTGGGGTGCCAGAAACGAATCTCCTCTCATCACCGGCCAGTGAGCAGGCTCTCTCCAGCGAGGCCTCAATGCAGCAAGTTTCCCTGAGCACCCGTGATGTGCCAGGCAAGATGTAGTGCCGGGGGTTTACAAAAATGGGTTCCTGTATTTAAGGAGTTTTACTCCCAGTCTGCGTCACTCCCTGCTCCTGAGCACACCGTGGACTCTCTTTCCTGTGGGTGACCTCCACGGTGGCCTGAGGTTGGGGCTTCTGTAGGAGAAGGTGGGGAAGGAGATGGATCCTGGGGACTTCTGCTTTTCTTTCTTTTCTTTTTTTGTCAGAGCCTCTGATTAGTGTCCCTGTCCTTCCTAATGACCAACTACTGCAGAACACAAGGTAATTTCATGGTTTCTCCCATCCCTCTAGTCCCTGAAAAACACAAATATTAATGGAAAGGTGTTTTATGTAGAGGATGAAACCCACCAACCCAGTGATGGCATGGAAGGTTTTATTACTCATTGCTCCCATTCCCCACTGGCTACTGAGAATAAGAATAAAGTGACCTAAGGTGCAGAAAAATGTCATCGCAAAGCTGATGCCAGGTCTTTGGGCATGGTAGTGTGGGAAATTACCTTACGCAATGGCACTCTCCGAGTACGCCACCAGGTAGGCTATCCCAGGGTCACAGAACAGAATGACTCACAGGTCAAATTATGATGCTTCAATAACATGGTTTATTAAATCCATTTAAAACTTACAGCATGAAGCAAGGGGAAAGAAATGAGGTAGGTTAACACTCTTAGGGTAGATGTGTGTGGGCTGGAAGGACCACACTCTCTGATTCCTGGGTTGTGTGATGCTCACACCTTTGTCTCCTTTTCAACTACATCAGCCTTGCCTGATAGGGAAGTTAGAGAACTGGAGCTGAGGCTAGTGATAGTTAACTGTATGTATCAACTTGGTTAGGCCATAGTACACAGATATTTGGCTAACTTTTATTCTAGATATTTCTGTGGAGGTATTTTAGATGGGATTGAGATTTAAATCAGTAGACTGAGCAAAGCAGTCTGCCTTCCATAATGTAGGTAGGCCTCATCCAATCAGTTGAATGGAGTCCAAAGTCACCCCACTAGCAGAGCTCCCAGCAGAGTGACTTTGGACTCTTCCCTGGGTCTCCAGCCTGCCAGTCTACCCTGCAGATCCTGGACTTGCCAGCCTCCTCAATTACATGAGCCAATCCCTTAAAATCAATCTCTCTCTCTCTCCACATTCTATTGATTTTCCTCTGATGTCACAATTCCTTCTACTTACCCCAACCATTCAGGTAAGTCTGACACATCAGTATCCTTTGTGCAGTCATGACGTTAGGGTGGGGCAGTAAGGGACAGGACAGAAAGGGAAGTGCAGCCTGCCTCCTGCCCCCCACCCCGGGACTGCCTTCGTGGAGGGAGAGATATCTTGCCTCTTCCTAGGAGACCCAGGCACAGACATTGGCACAGGAGTGAGTGGAACACAAGGCATCTTCCAGGTAGGTCTAGGTGGATGAGTCAGGGGGACGTCCCCAAGATAAAGGGAGACTAATTTCCTCATTCTCAAAAACAAACTTGACTATATTAATAACACATTTTGAGTTTCTCCTTAGGCCAGCTCCTTCCTTTTTCCTTCTACCTCTTCCATGGTTTGAATGTGTCCTCAAAGTTCCCGTGCTGGAAGCTTCATCCCCAGTGCAACAGTGTTTGGAGGGGCACCCAACAAGAGGTGTTTAGGTCATAAGGGCTTTGCCCTCGTGAGTGGATCCGTGTTGTTATCATAGGCTTGAGTCTGCTATGAAAGCAAGTTCGGCCTCCTCTTCCTCTCTCACTCTCACACTCTCTTGCCTTCTGCCATGGGATGACAGAGCATGAAGACCCTCACCAGACGCCAGTGCCATGCTCTTAGACTTCCCAGTCTCTAGAACCATGGGCCAAATACATTTCTGTTCTTTATAATTTACCCCATCTGTAGTCTTCTGTTATGGCAGTACCAAATAGACAACGACAACCTCCTAGAACCTACAAGAAAAGGAATAAACATACAAAGCTAATAGTGGTTGATCTTAGACTATACTGAGGGCTGAAGTGAGATTCATCTGCATATTTGAGGAAAGTCAAACTCAATGGGACTACGAGGCATTTTGGCACAGAAACAAGATGAGGCCTCACCTTGATGGCCGTCCCCTCCACCATTGCTGTCACAGGTCCTTTCTCAGGTGTCCCAGCCCCCACTAGTTTCCCTTCCCTTCCATAGTGCCCAAGTGGAACCCATGCTTAGTGCCTTCATCACTTGAGGTAAGAAACAGGTCTTACTCACCACCCAGCACAATGCTGAGCACATAGTCAGCCCTCAAAAAAGTGTTTGTTGAATGAATAAATAAATGACTCAGCGCCAGACCAATCTGGAATGAGATGAGAAGCAGGACCTAAGGATGGGAGCCCAAGGCAGAGTCAAGGTCAACTGAGGGGTACGGAACAAAGGACAACCATCCCCGTTGGAGAGAGCTGAGACCACACAGCTGGGCAGCTAGTTTCCTCTGAAGGTAACAAGCGTACATACTACGTTGGGGCTACCTCTATTAGAAAATAAAACTTCTAACGTGTATGCAGAGAAGCAGACAATCTTATCAAACAACCAAATGTCAGATCTCAAATATTTACACACTGTCTTGCCATGGAACATGTTTTTCCACAAGGGAAGCTAGTGAAACTCCATTTTATCATGCACACTGTTGCCAGAGCAATATTCCCAAAACCTGCTCAAAAGCCTTTAACACAGTATCTGTTTACTGTTTGTGGTCACAACATTTTTGAGAATCTGATGAAAGCTATGTTTTTTTTCCCTAGAAAAACATACCCCAATTTTCCTACAATTCTAGGAGGTAGTGGTTGTAGCCCACCCCTCCTCTGGTGGTCTCCTGTTTCCTCCGATAAAAACTGTGCCCTGGGCCACCACCACCCCCACCCCCACCTGCCTCTTTGCCCCTTCTCCACCTGACTCTGGGGTGACACTGCCCCAGCCACTCTGCTCTCTTTCCCATGTCCCCAACATACCTTGTGCTTTCCCACCTTTGAACTTGGAGTCAGAGGTCCTGAAGTTCCTTTAAGATGCCCTGAGGACAGGAGCTGGGCCCCACAGCCCACTCATAGCCAGGACAATAAAAGTTGAAGGAACAGCCATAACCTGTTCTGCAGCGCAGTCCTGGCCCTACCCACCTTTCTGTGACAGTGCAGCTCAGGCTTCTAACTGCATGTCCTCTCTTGGCCTCTCTGACTCAGATCTGTCTTGGACTTGCCAATCCTGCTGCTCCCAGGACTCCCTAATGGCACAGACTCATGGAAATTCCTGATTAGGGGCTGCAGATTTGACTCCAGGAGAGAGCTCACCCTTTTCTACTTATTCATTAAAAAAAAAAAAAAAAATCAATCAGCCATCTACATTGTGTCCCCAGCTGCTTGGGTGGACAGTGAGGATACAGCTGGACCCAGTCCTGCCTCCAGGGCTCAGTCTTGCAGGGGCAGCAGGTACAGGTGGAAATGCCCCATATTGGCAGGTAGGAGGTGACTGCTAAGATGAGGCCCAAGGGACAAGGCCTGACATGTTTCAAGGAAAGTAAAGTCTGAGTAAGACACTAGAGGCCAGAAGGAAGAGAGGGTAGCGTGATGGCCTGGGAACTGCAGTTTGTTCAGGATCTCTGGACTCCAGGGTCCCTGGAGGGAGTGAGATGGCTGGAGAGAGGGCCAGGAAGATGAAAGGAGGGGTGTGGCTGGGGCTGGGGCTGGAGCAAATGACCTCTTCTCCGCCCCAGGCAGCTCTCTTGCTCCAGTTGTCCTGGTCTTGTGAATGCTGCCACCTCCTACTCTAGCCCTTGGGGCTTTTCTGAGTCTGAGTGTTACAGAGCCATAGATATGACACACACACTTTCATCTCCTTCCTTTTTTTTTTGGCATTGAACATCAACCAGCACCTCAAAAACAGCTAGTCCAGGACTGAGCTCAGGGCCTTCCAGAGCCCTCGCCTCCAGGCCTGCTCCTGCCCCGCAGGGACAATAGGACAATAGGACACAGCCCTCCTTTCTCCTCCTGCCCTTGCCCACAAGGACACAGCCCTCATTGTTTCAGGGGTTGGTGTTTGTTTTTTAAACTGCTAATACCGAAAAGGAGCCAGAAAACGATACTATAATAACCTTAGGTGTGGGTGGGGCCTGTGGTGGAGTAAGAAAGATTCCAGCACCTTCTGGCATCTTCTATTCACAGTCTCTATTCCAAGTCCTGAATTCTTTGGTCATAAAAGTGTTTGTTCCCTTCTCTTTTGTTCTTCGGCTGGGCTTAGTAAACCCTCCCTTTACCTCAAGAGGCTCACAGACATTTTTTGAGTACTAACCATAGAAAGACATTTTACCACATGACCCAGCACACACACACACACACACACACACACACACACACACACACACACACACACACACACGCGGGCAAAACAGATTTCCTGAAATAATATTAAATTTTCTACAAATGATACCCTCTGATATTTTCTATTCTAGTCCAGTTCTCTTTCTTTCTTTCTTTTAATGCTGGTCAGAACCCACTGAATTGATTTCGATATCCACTAATTGCTGCAACCTGCACTTTGAAAAACTCTGCTTTAGTGGAAAGACAGGCTGAGACCTTTCCCAAGAGCCCCTCCCTCCAGCCAAGGCAATCCAGATGACGCCAAAAGTGGCCCCTTATCTTGGAGGTTATTTTGAGTTCGGGTCAGTTTGCTGGGCCTCAGCTGACTTAGAAATGTTCCCCTGTGGTCCCTGCCTCAAAAGGTATGAATCCTAGAAAAGCGTTTGTCTGGGTGCCGTTCTGCCCACGATCTGCTGATGAGTGAGGATGGCATAGAAAAAAGGAGCAGGCTGTGTTGACAGTGCCCGATAATAACAACAATAATCATAACAACAATAGTACCAACAGCTGTTGAGCTTGGCTGGACACCGACTGTGCTGGGCTCTGTCTCTCTCAGTCCTCACCACAGCCTCTGGGGTCGGTATTCTCCCATTGTACAGAGTGTAAAAGGGAGGCACAGCGGACCTGCCAAGGGGACAGTACTGCCAAGGGGACAGTACTAGGAAGAGGCCAAGCAGGGATTAGCCTAGGTCTGCTGGACACCATAGCCTGGGTCTTGACAAGCCTGAGTATTGTAGGGGCATCCACTGGTCTAAAGGTATTGGGGAGACCTGTCACCTCTAGTTTTATGCAGGGTGTGTGTGTTTCACATGTCGCCCTGTCTCAGGGATTCCTCACTGGGGTCCACATCTTGTTCCCAGATGGTTCCGAAGCCCTTGAAGTGGTGCAATAAGAATTTGGATGCATATTTGTCTGGCTAACTTCTGAAATCAGTCCTTGACCCAATGACCAGTCTGGCTGAGCTAAATGATCTGAATGTAAATAATACAGCCAGCCCTTCATATCCAAGGGTTCTGCATCTGTAGGTTCAACCAGCCATGGATCGAAAATATTTGGAGGAAAAAATGCACCTGTACTGAACATATGCAGACTATTTTTTTTCTTGTCGTCATTCCCTAAATGATACAGCATAACAACTATTTACATAGTATTTAGATTGCATTAGGTATTATAACTAATCTGGAGATGATTTAAAGTATACAGGTGACTGTACATTAGAGATATGCAAATGCTACACTATTTCACAACAGGGACTTGAGCATTCGTAGAGTTTGGTATTGGAGGAAAGTCCTGGAACAAATTCTCCCAGGGATAGCTCGGGACGACTGTGCAGTTGGAGATCACTATGAGAGATGTTTGTTTGTAGATCTCTGTGGGACAAGAAATTCCAGTGGGCAGGAGATGCATGCACTGCAGTGGGGGGTGATGTGGGTGGTGGTGATCCTGCCCAAAAAGGGGAGTGGAGGCTGGGGAGAGCAGTTTCCTGGTCTATAAATGGGGTTGTTCTAGACAAGGTTCCTCAGAGCCATGCAGAAATGCCTTGAGACTCTTGTTCCATCACCTCAGGCTTGACCCAGAGCTGTTGCCGCCTTCTGCTGGGGGCAGGGAGGCAGTCTCCACTGCTTTAAAAAGTGGGAGGTTGGGGCGCCAGACAAATCCCAACTGAGGAACATTATGCAAAATACCCAACCAGCACCGCTGAAAACTGTCAGGGGCCAAAACAAGGGACGTCTGAGAAATTGCCATAGTCCAGGCCTAAGGAGACATGATGACTGAATGTATGGACATTAACTAATAGTAATGTATGAACAGTGGTTCATTAGTTGCAAATTTATACTAATGTAAGAAGTTTATTAATAATAGGGGAAGCTGGTGTGGGGGATATAGGAACTCTACTCTCTTTGCAACTTTTCCGTGAATGTAAATTGATTTTAAAATTTAAAAGTTTATTGAAAAAAAGTGGGTACTGCCGACTAGCTGATCTCTGAGGTCCTGTCCCACTCTGCCAAGCCCTGGGCAGTCTGTGCAGCGGTGGCCTGGGCTGGGGCCCTCAGGGAGACGCAGGATGTGAGAGGTTCTGAGCGTGCAGCCATGGGTGGGAGCAGCCCCCAGCACCACGACGCTGCAGAAGACACAACTTCAGCTTGATCCTGGGGTCCTGCCCTTGGTGTCTGACCAGCAAGGTGGCAGCCTTCAAGAATGGGGTCTCAGGTCGGGCGTGGTGGCTCACGCCTGTAATCCTAGCACTCTGGGAGGCTGAGGCGGGTGGATTGCTCGAGGTCAGGAGTTCGAAACCAGCCTGAGCAAGAGCGAGACCCTGTCTCTACTATAAATAGAAATAAATTAGTATGCCTGCAGTCCCAGCTACTTGGGAGGCTGAGGCAGCAGGATCGCTTGAGCCCAGGAGTTTGAGGTTGCTGTGAGCTAGGATGATGCCATGGCACTCACTCTAGCCTGGGCAACAAAGTGAGACTCTGTCTCAAAAAAAAAAAAAAAAAGGAATGGGGTCTCAGTGTCACAGAGCCATACATGTGACACACACTTTTATCTCTTTCCTCCTTTTTTTTTGCTATTGAACATCAGCCAGTACCTCAAAGCCAACTTGTCCAAGACTGAGCCAACCAGGGCCCCAGCCCCTCACTCCCAGGCCTGCTCCCCTTCCTGTGTCCCAGCACCACCCTCCTTCTCCAGTTCCCTGTGCAAGGCCAGAGGGTCATCCTCGACATCTCCCCTCTCTCCCCTCCCACACTCAGCCAGTCATAGCAGCCTGAGGACCCCATCCCTGGCATGGGGCATCCACACACCCCCTTGTCCTCACTGCTGTGGTCTTGGCTCAGCCTCTCCCCACTGCACCCAACTGCGGTCCAGTCACCAACGTTCTAATTCACTCTTAAAAAAAATTATGGTGAAATATTTTGGGCAAACCAAAGAGTGCAGATAATAATGAAATGAACCTACCACCAAGCATAAGAAACAAAACCCTACTGATAAAGCTCTCTGTGTGCCCCTGCCTGACTCATCCTCACCCTCCACGCCCTCTCCCTTCCAGTTCTCAAACATCTTATTGTTTTCCTTCCCAGTGTGGCTTACTCTGACAACTCCATTTAACACTACAACCCAGACCCCACTCCTCCAGCACCCCTGATCTCTTTTATTTCTGCTCTTTTTTTAAAAAATGCATTTTGTGACTTTTATCAGGTTAAGGGAGTTCTCTTGTATGTTTAGTTTTTATCATGGAAAAATTTGAATTTTATTGAATGCTTTCTCTGCATCAGCTGAGATGCTCATTTCTCTTTTAATCTGTTAATGTGGTGTTTTACAGAACTAGATATGCTGGCATTCCTAGGATAACATTGCAGGGTTTTAATCAGGCGATTAACATGATCTGATTTTCATTCTGAAAAGTTCATGCTGGCCGCTGTGTGGAGAATGCATTGTGGGGAACAAGGGTGAATGGAGGGAGCTTAGCCAGGGGGCTGGGACAGCCACCCAGGCCAGGGAAGATGGGACAGTGGAAATGGACATGAGTGATGAGGGGATTAGGAAGATATTTTGGAGATAAAACTGGCAGCGCTCACTGGTGGATTAGAGGAAAAGGGGAGAGAGCTGAGGATGACTGCTGGGTGTTTGGTGTGGGCACTAGGTGGTCCCACGCTACTCAGAGGGGACCAGAGGGAGAATCAAGTCAGGAGAGCAGGAAGCAAAGTCCTGCTTTAGACACGTTAGGACCCAGCTGCCTGTTCGACACCCGCGTGGAGAATGGAGCAGGCCGTCGGATATTGGAGTGCCCGGCTCAGAGCAAGTCTGAGCCGATAATATAGATCAGGGAGTTATCAGCATAGAGGTGGCATTTAAAGCCATGCCATGGATGCAATCAGCAAGGGGGAGAGTGGGGCAGAGAGGACGAGGACGCAGGGCTCTCCAGCCCTGGCCAGGCGGTGAGGGAACAACCAGCAAAGGAGATGCGAGGAGGGCGGGTAAGGCAGCGATGGCCAATGGTGCAAATGCCTCGAGGGGTGCAGGGGATGAGGGCAGAGACGTATCCAGCGGTTACCAATGGACCTTATTAAGTTAACGTTTCCAAATTTTGTTATTTTCTGTGCTCAGTTACATAAGGAAAAAACCAAGGGCCATTTGCACATAGTACTGAATAAACCAGCCACCTCCTCAGTCCTTTGTAAGATTTTCTGGGGGTAGGAACGGTGATTTTTTGAAATACCTTCCCCTCAAAACAGCATCTCTGGATTTGCCTCTGGTCACTGGTTCCCAGTGCTTTTGTGGCTGTGACACACCACACTGAGTTTGGTTTGGCTGTCTCCTGAGCTTGACTCACAGAACAGCAAATACAACAGTTTCCACACACACTGAACTCATTCCACTCGCAACACACCCTACAGGGCTGTGGAGTTCACAGACAGAGGCACTACCTCACCCCTGCCCCGAAGCTCCATTTAAAAACTCAAAGTGAATTCAAATTACCTTCATTTAGACAGTTTCATAACACACCCTTTGAGATAACATTTACAAATTAACATTGGGACTCCTTGCTGTAAGATGTCAAAACAATTGCTGGCACGGGTGTAAGGTATGCGTGCCGGTTACCAGGGTCTGAAAAGACAGCTTGGCCTTAACTGGGTAGCATTCAAGCTTACAGTTTCTGCCTTGGGATTTATGTTTGGCTGAGAAAATGGTAAGGGCCTCCTTTCAGCCATCCTCATTTAGTTGTTCCAGTTTCAAAAAAGCCCTCCCTTTCTTAAACAACCAAGATGATTCTCAACAAAGGTAATTTTCTGCTTCTCTGGTTCAATTCAATTTATCTTTTTAAAAGTAATTAGTATCCCTTTAGAATTCCTTTATGCCTGACTAATTGTGCCTTAGTTCAGGAGTTAAAGCTTCTCTCTCACCATTTAGGGAACTACAATAATATCTAGTTAAAGTCCAGGCCAGACAAAAATGCACATTTTGGATAACACAGTCTCCTTAGCTTTGTAAGTATTTAAATTTCCACCAGTGGGGAAGGAGAAAGGGGATCCGTTTTTTTATTTTAAGGCTTTCCTAAGAAGGGTGTATTTCCAATTAACTGAGCATCAGAGGAATTGGAAAATAGCAAGAGTAGAGGACTTAAATATGCATTAAGAAAAATTCCACTAGTCATTTGAAACCAGTTGGTAGGTCTGTAAGTATAGGAAACACCACGTAGCTTGTATTTTTCCCTTATAAACCAACACTACTTGTTTACTTAAGGCCAGTAAGGCAATCTAGACTTACTAACACAGTGACCCAATTAGACAGATCCTTTTACATGTAGACAGCTTTAGAGAAGTTCCAGGTGTTGTGGAAAAACAGCTGGCCCTGCTATGCTCTTTGTCTCTAGGAGAGAGACCAGTTGAAAGAGAATCATAGAATTTTAGAGTTCACATCATCTTAGAATAGAGTCACTTACGATTATACAGGCTAGCAAACTCATTAATGGCAATGGCAGGATCTGGAAAGTTGATAATTTTATTCCCAGCCCTTTGGTCTTTCCACTAGAGCAGCGGTTCTTAACTGTGCAGCACACTGGAATCCGCTGGGGAGTAAGGTAAACACAAGCAAGTAAGAGATGGTCTAGGGAGCTCGCTGGGCACTGGGATTTTTAAACACTCCTTTTCCCCACTCTGAGTAGTAGAGGGAGGGGAAAAGGCAAATGAGTTGCAAGGCACACAGTATATATTTACAAGGTATTAGGCTAATCCATTTGACCTCACCTTCCAAACTACTCCTGGCATGCATTCCTGAGGTAAAAGAGACTCTTATAGAAATTCAATCCTCAGACTTCCTTTTCCATTTACAACATATAGCATTCTTTTCTCCTTTAGCACAAAGGACCTGGAAGAGATTTCTACTTGGCTCCTGGACTGGTGTATTCATTTGGTAAACAGAATGGCCTTGCAGAAACGCAGAGGTTGTGGGAGCCAAAAAAACCATCTCATCTCCTAAGAACCAATTAGGATTCCTGAATGGCAAAACTCCTATTAAAAAAAAAAACAAAATTATAAAGCACTGCAAAGAGGCCACACTCTCAAATTACTCCAGAACTTTCCACTAAATTGGTAAAGGAGGGAGGCTCTAGGGCAGTTTGGCAGAGAGCTTGGCGGCAGTTTGATGCTAAGCAACGACGAGAGGAGACAGGGTGACCACCCAAACCCAGTGCCATGATGCAGCCCGCAGCCAGGCAGATACACAAACACCACGTATTGATTTTGGCAATGATCTCACTACTTTTTATGTCAGAAACCAGCCAAGTTGAAGAAAAACCACTGGCAGCCTAGGTCTAAAGGTGAACTGAGGGGGCCGAGTGGTCCATAGGCCTCTGCTCAGTTCTGTTGCCTTGCATCTGTTTGGGGGGTCTAGCGCCTACCCAGGAGATGATACAGCACTGAAACCTAAGCCCAGCTTGCTAGTCTTTCTCAACAATTCCAAGTAAACCACTCACCCAATGAAGCTGAAAGTTCTCTCTGTTCAATTGAGTGGTAAGAAATAAAAAAGAAACTCCCTCAACCTGCCCAACTGGTTCTGGGACTTGAAACTCATCCAGCACCTTTATATAATATATAACCCGGGACGCCAGTTCCAGCTCCACTCTGCTCACAGCAACACCCCGAATCCCACACCACCTCCCCACGCAGATCTGCCTCTCTTTAACAAATCCTAGAGGTTTTAGTGTCACACATTTGTCCTCAGGAGCCATAGGAAGGCAAAAAATTTTTAAGAGAAGCATTTTGTAGTAACAAAGAGGAGGGCAGAATGCCTAAGTGAATGACAATCAGAGAAACAGCCAATTAACTGGAAAATCCCTGTGGTCTGCAAGCTGAACCAGGAACGGGAGGGGGAGGGGGAAGCAGCTGCAGCCCAATTAAACTCAGTAGCTCAGATACCCCCGAGGATTCTCACTTCTGGTTTACCTAAACAGATCTGCTTTCTCGAGATCTTAGGGGACTGCTGCACAGAAGCACGAGCTCTGATGACTTCCTTCTTTATTACTGCTGGCAACCGAGCTAAAATATGCGTATAAGCAAATGGAGAGGATGGGAGGGTCAGAAGCCTCAGAAAACATACTTTTCTTGGTCTCCCGGGAGAAGAGAGGGGGAGACCGCTGGATCCCGAAGACTAAAGACACTGTGCACACACACAGCCCAAAAGCTGGAGGACGGAGGAATTCAGAATTGGCACCCGCTCAGCAAGTCTTTGGGAAGCCAACTGATCCTTCAGTTCATGAGTTTGGAGAATCCCCTATTATGAAATGAGCCCCGACAGAATGACGATATTATGCAACTCTAGGAGTCAGGCATCCTGGTCAGGCCGGTGAAATGCTTCTCTTTGTCCGTTGTGATCATGTTTGATCTTTCCCATATTTCTTCCATATGGAAAGAATTTTCCAACTTCAATTCCTGCTCAGTATATAGACTTCACCTTAAATTGGTAAGTACCCATTCAGGGCTTGTCTGCTAGCTCCAGCAGTGCTCGCCTAGAGCTGATTCTCTCTGGTTCTGGACTCTGGGTCAGAATCACCTCAGCTGCTTGTTTAAAAGACCTCCAATCTGGAATAAAAATCTCCTTGATGCTCAAAAAACATGCACCAATCTTTTATTACTATCATTATTATATTTTTATTTTAGTATATTATAGGGGTTAAGGTTACCTGTATTGCCCATGTCCCCCTCCCCCTCAAGTCAGAGCCTCAAAGCGCATGCACCAATCTTTTAAAAATAAAAATAAATTTGATATTTATCATGAACTTGTTTAAACATACACATTAGAGAGAATAGTATAACAAACCTCATGTACCCATCATTCAGCTGCACTAGCTATCAACAGTCTGTTATTCTTGTTTCAATTCTACCCAGCTATACCACTTTTTTGGAGAGGATAAGACTGAAATATTTTAAAGTGAATCCTAGACCTCTTATCATTTTACCTGTTAGTTCTTCAGTATGTTCCTCTAGCAGATAAGAACTTTTGTTTTTTTTTTTTTTTTTTTTTTTTTTGAGACAGAGTCTCGCTTTGTTGCCCAGGCTAGAGTGAGTGCCGTGGTGTCAGCCTAGCTCACAGCAACCTCAAACTCCTGGGCTCAAGCGATCCTTCTGCCTCAGCCTCCCGGGTAGCTGGGACTACAGGCATGCGCCACCATGCCCGGCTAATTTTTTATATATATATCAGTTGGCCAATTAATTTCTTTCTATTTATAGTAGAGACGGGGTCTCGCTCTTGCTCAGGCTGGTTTTGAACTCCTGACCTTGAGCAATCCGCCCGCCTCGGCCTCCCAAGAGCTAGGATTACAGGCGTGAGCCACAGCGCCCGGCCTAGAACTTTTGTTCTTTTGACATACCCACAATGCCATCATCATACCCAACATTAACTATATAGTTTTTTAATATTGTCAAATTCCCAGTCCATTTTCAGTTGTCCATAATAGTCTCAAAAATGTCTTTTTCCATTTGGTTTGTTCAAATCAGGATTCAAATCAGTGTGTTTGGTTGGTATGTCTCTTTGAATTTATAATAGTCCCCCTCCATTATTTTAGTGCCATTTATTCATTAAGGAAACTGTATCATTCCTTCTGTAGAATTTCCTGCATTCTGGATTTGACCGATTGTATCTTTACTGTGCTGTTTTTTTAACACGTTCTTGTCTCTTGTTTTCTGTAAGCTGATGGTTAAAAGCTTGGCTGGATTCAATATTTTTTGGCAAGACTGTTCCACAGGTAGGGAAACATTATGTCTGACCATTCCACTTTTAGTTAAGATTGACCAGTGATTTCAAGTGTTGTCAGCCTGATTCATCCATTATAAAATCCGTCAACATTTTATGTAATGATTTTTGCAGTCAATTTGATCATTGTTTAGTTCTACTATTTCATGGTGATTTTCTAGTTCTGTCTTTCCTCCTGCATTTATTAGCTTTGATTATTCTATAGAGAAGAAATTTCCTTTATAAACTATTTGGTTACCAAGAAATACAGTCTATATAGGAAAGGAAAGGCAAAGGCTTTATTCTTTTCTTTTATTTATCATTTTTATATTTATCAGAATAACTGATGCCCTAGTATTCCCCAAAGATAACCAATGAAGTTTTCTTTCTTGTAGGGGAGGGGCATTATGGGCTCATTGATTTGTACATATTTGATGTGTTTTAATTTATTGCAGTTGTTACTTTTTTTCATGTTCAAACTGTCCCATGTTTGGAAAGTGGAGGCCACTACAAGTTGGCTCCAGTGTTTGTTTTTTGACACAACCTCATAGTCTTGACAATTTTCTTGTTTTCAGGTAGGACAAGACGTTCCAGGCCCATCTTCCTCAAATCTGTGAGTAGCCATTTCTCCAGGGAGTCTTGATTTTTTTTAGTGAGAAATGGTACTTAGAGGTTACAATCTGGGCTCTAGGGTGCTCGCCACCCATCAATCCTGGGCATTTTCGTTGGATAGAGTTAGGAAATAGGCACTACTTAGAGAAAAAGTAAATAAACTCATAATTTTATATTTATATTTCCAATTCAAATAAAGATTGTTTTTATGCACTTTGATTTTACATTTTTATCCCTTTTCTCTTATGCTGAAAAGCTCAGCTCCTAATGATATTAACATAGTTATATGTTTCTCTTTCTTTCTCTTTCCTCTCTCTCCCCCACCTCTTTCTCCAAATTAGTACAAAATACCAATATTGTAACCAGCGTTAATGATACTGAAGCCAGTCTAAGATTTCTTTGTGTGTTGTCCTCAGGAAACTGTTTCAAAGTCACTTAAAATAATTACTTTCTTTCTGTTTGTCAGATCAACTTGATACAGAGCTAGGTTTGTTTGTTTTTGCTTTTTAAATAGATTTTTTAAAATTTCACAACAGTTTTAAGTGTACAGAAGAGTGGTGAAGATATTACAAAGAGCTCCCATATAACCCACACCCAGTTTACCCTGTTCTTAACATCTTATGTTAATGTGGTGCTTTTGTCATAATTAATGAACCAATATTGATACATTCCTTAAGTCTACACTTTATTCAGATTTCTATAGTTTTTACCTAATGTCCTTTTTCTGTTCTGGGATCCCATCCAGGATACCATATTACATTTGGACATCACGTCTCCTTAGGCTTCCTTTGGCTGTGGTGGTTTCTTAGACTTCCCTCGTTTTTGATAACCTTTACAGTTTTGAGGGGTACTGATCCAATATTTTGTAAAATCTCTCTCTGTTGAGATTGTCTGATATTTTCCTCATGATGAGACTGGAACTATGTGGTTTGGTGAGGAAGACAAAAGGGTCAGGTGCTATTTCCATCACAACATATCAAGGGTACATCCTATCAACACACCATCCTTGCTGATGTTAACTTGATCACCTGGCTGAGGTAGTGTTTGTCAGGTTTCCCCTCTACAGAGTTAACTCTTTTCCCTGCCTTTCCATACTGACTTGTGGGAAGGACGTCCCTATGCACAGCCCATGCTTAAGGAGTAGGGAATTATGTTCCACCTCTTTGAGGGTCCATATCTACACAAATTATTTGATATTCTTTTGCATGGAAGATTTATCTCTTATCTATTTATTTATTAAAAATTAATTTATGTCAGTATGGACTCGTAGGTATTTATTCAATACTTTGGGTTATAATCCAATTCTATATTTTTTATTTTAATGCTCAGATTTGTCCAGTATTGGCTATCGGGAGCTCTTCAGTTGACTTTTGTGTCCTTTTGACATGCCCCCTTAATTTTTTTTTTTTTTTTTTTAGCACTTTCTTATTTCTGGCACTACAAAATACTCCAGGTTCATCTTGTGGCTTTCATGACTCTAAAATCAGCCATTTCTACAAAGGAGCCTTTGATTGGGTAATGCTGTTAGAAACCAAGATCTGGGTGCTAGATGTGTTTGTTGCTACTAGGGTGTCATTGCTTCTAGGCCCTCTCAGTTGACAGACCAAGGAAATATATGCATGTACACTAACCTGTGGGTATGTGCATGTATACTAACTTTTGTATATATGCATGTCTATCAATATTTTTGGGGGGAGGGGCATGGGCAATATATGTAACCTTAACACTTATACCCCCATAATATGCTAAAATAATAATAATAATAAATATATATATATTTTTAGTGTAACCATCTGCATCTATACTAAGCTAAACATGAGTTCATACTAATGTCTCCAACTCTAACCCATTACCACATGGATCATTCTGGCTTCTTCCCCTTGCTTCTCTGTCACCTCCTACTCCAACAGTGAGAAACCCAGCTCCCATCCATTTTCTTAATCATTTAATTCCAGTAGACATCTATGGCTGTTTCCATTTGTTTTTAATGTTTTCTTTTGGTTAATTTTGTTTTTGAATCACGTAAAATATTTGATTCCCAAGTCAAAACACAAAGCAAGGAACATTCAATTCAGGGAGCTCTATTGTCATCCCAGTTCCCTTCTCACTGATTTTCCCCACATCATGGATATCAATTTTTATTAGCTTTTAGTTTATTCTTCCATTGTTTCCTTTTGAAGCATAAGCAAATACATAAATAGTCATATTCCCTCCTTTCTTGCACAAATGGCAGCATGCTGTACACGTTTTCCTTCACCTTGCTTTGTTCACTTAACAATAGACCCTGGAGATCATCCAGAACAGTCTACAGTGATGCTTCCTCATTCCTGCACAGTTCGCTTTTACAAGCATGTACCACAGTTACTTAACCTGGCCGCTATTGACTGACATTGGGTTTTTTCCAGTCTTTTACTTTTACAAATTAGTAATGCAAAGAATAGCTTTGAACACCTAGCATTTCAGATTTCTGCCTGTGTATCTTCAGGATAGATTCCTGAATGTGAGATTACAGGATCAAAAAGAATGTGCATGTGATATTGCCAGATGCTGCCAAATTCTCTTCTGTAAGGGATATGTAATATCATTTTGTATTCCCACCAGCAACATATGAGAGGTCCCCTTTCCCTATAGTTTTGCCATCAGAATATGTTGTCATACTTTTGTCTATCTGACAGGTGACAAACAGTAATTCAGTCAGACTGTGCATTATTATTATTTTTTTTATTATATGAAGTCCAACTTCTTTTTGTACACTTAGGAGTCATTTGCAATTTTTCTATAAAACTATTTCTTCCTTTCTGCACTACAGTTTAAGAGCTGCTACCCTGGTGAATATATGAGGCACATAAAACACAGGCCCTTGTCCTGGAAGGAACTGGTAGGGACTTACCCAAATGACATGCTCAAAATGACAATAAGGAAACAACCAGTATGAGTTTAGCTTTCAACTCAACACAGATGAAAGGTTTGGGAGTTCAGAGAATAGAGATAACTGCAAAGTAATTAGGGAAGTCTTTGCAGAGGAGGAGGAGGAGTTTGAGCAGGGATTTGAAAGATATCTGGGATGGCACAAGCAGAGGAGAAGAGGGCAGGGGGCACAACAGAAGTAGGTGGAGAGC